TCACACTTCACTATTTGTTTTTCCTGTCTGGTCTATGGCAATATTCTTCTAAAACATAGGAATGTGCCACAGATTATTCACAAAGAGAAAAATGAACCTTCTATGCAAGGTACTTTACAACATTTGAATATAAATAAACCCATAAAATGAAAATCACCTTTCACTAAAGTTCCTGTGCAAATGCAGCTTAAAAAACAAAGATAAAACTACTAGAATCTCCAGCACAGGTTTTAATGCTGAGTTATACTACAAACCATTAAGAAACAACTGCCTATGGATATTTTTCAAAAACATTTAGCACAATATCATAAATGTTGTTTCCATGTGAAAGTCGATGCTTGTCTTTTAGCCAGTGGGAAAAGAATGCATACTTCAAAACATTCAATTCATCTTTGCCCTTTAAATGTATTAATGAAAAACAGGAGGTTCAATCAGAAATCACAATAAAAAAATATCCACCCAAAACCACCCAAGATCCTCAATTTCAACCATACTTTTTAACACCTTCTCTTCAAGACTCCAGTGTTACAGAGAAAAATGATGTGCTGCATTGTGCACTTTGTTACACAAGTAGTGTTTGCTACAATACTGGTGTCTAGCGTCTTCAAAACCATTGTGACTTTCAAAAAAACTATTTAATCAAAGTAAATGTATTTACAATTTGACTATTGACTAATGTATAGATGGAATGCACCCATCTAATAAATGTATGGACAAATATTAACACTAAACCCTGTGACTCATTTCAAGCTTTAAAACATCATGTAGGGAATCTCTTAAACTTTCCATTTTTATATAAAATGTGCTTTATTTGCTGTCAGTGACAGCAAAGAAAATATACTGAAGACCCTGACAATGGTAGTGTTCATTAACACTGCAGTCACTTTTTTCACAATCTGCTGTTACAACCTTGTGCTTTGATATGAAAAGTGAAGTAATCATACCTTAGCCTTTTCCAGCCTCATTCTGGGCAGTGTGTCACTTAGAAGAAATATAAAAGATCGCACGTCTTCTTTACCCAATTCTTCACTTACATCTGCCATCAAGACTCTGGAATAGTAAAATCACACATTAGTGTGGTTAATGCATACATTCTAAAAAACAGTAAAGTAATATTTTTTAATACTATGGAATTTAATAAGCACAGGAAGAACTATGCAACATAAATGGTATGAAGTATGTAGTTTGGTATATTACTAACAAAATAGTTACCATGAACACTAATGTACAGACATGGGCATTCTTTCATTTTCCTTTTAAGTATGGAGAACAGAATGTTCATGAAACATCTGGACTTGGGGTTTATTACATTAAACAGGTGAATAAACTGAAAAGATTAAGAGGGAACAAAATGCATCACTCAAATAAATAAAATTAAAGTTACCTGTAATCAGAAATGAAGCATTTCCTTCCCAGAATGCTTTCCACTTCCTTTCTATTTGTCATTAGCACCCTTTTCAAAATGTCAAAACGCTTGATTCTGTATGTAAGTTCCAACAACAAAAACTGATGGTCCACTTGCCCACTTTTTAACAGAGCTTTTAACATGTCCTTGACATCTTCATTTGAACTGCACTTGTCCAGGTTGCCGCACAAATAAAATAATGTTTTGCATTCTTCAGAGTTGAGCTCATCTGCAATCTGATTAATTGTTAGGGATAAATGTCCCTCAGCCATTGCAATTGTGTGCTCTCATGCTAGAAATCAAAATACAGACTATTCGACTGTCCTATTGTCCACCTCGAATCTCTGCAGCTGTTTCCATTTTAATACCATCTGCCAAAAAATGAAAAAAATAAAATATTGACTTTGGGATGTTAAATGTTAAGAAAAAGTAGGTTTTATTAAGAAAAGATATAAAACTCCCCCCAACCAAATAATAGAGACCCAGTAATCTAATTATTATTCCAATTATTATTGTATCAACCACTAACTAGTTTTTCAGGAGACTAGTTACTTTTGTTTTCTTTTCAACCCCCAAAACAATTTTTCTGCCCTGATTTAAGAATCAAAAGTCAAAATTAAAAAACCTTCAGGGAAAGAGAAAAAAGAATAGCTGAAGCAGTGTTATTACATAATGGATTTTTTAAACAAAAAATGAGGAAACACCCCTGCACTGTCACCATATGCATCTTATTTATTTTTAATAAATATGCCACTGTAAGTATATTTTTCTATACCAGATATATTTAGTCCTTGTAAAAGCCTGCATTCTTGAGATTCATTCTTGAACGTGAGACTCGCAGATGCCACAGAACAACATTCCATTTTGGAAGGCAATGTGAACCAAAATAAATTATTTAGTAAATGATTGGAACAGCCTATATACTGTAATACTCACTGCAATCTGAATTTAAACTTCTTAGTTTGTTTCATTCAGAATAAAAATCAGTTTGTTTTACAATTTAATTAATACTTGTTCTGAATTAATTCAAATTGACGTATATATTTTATATACATAAGGCTGAAGAAGTAACAACACACTTTGACCTAGCACACTGTTCTCAACCTCTGGGCTGTAAGAGACAATCCAGTTCTTCAAATCATGAACATATTAAATTCTGTGCAGAAATGTTATTTTGACCAAATTCACCATTCAATCTACTGATGATTCAAAGAGAACATCAATGCCTGTTAAGAACTGAAATCCCTGTGCTTTAAGCGTCTATTAACAATATACTTAAAATAAGACTCAAAAGAAGAAACAAAACGGAAACACTACATTTTTGCTTGAGAAAACATTTGATCACATTCAAACTCATACTGTGGTCCACATCCTTCAGACCCTGTAATTCTACCCACAGAAGTAAACAGCTATTAAATAAAAATGCAGTTCAGTGATATAGTTCACCTAGTACATGTGTTCACTGTGTGACATGCACTTGTAGACATGTAGTTCTCCTCTTCATGGGCTCCTACTGTTCCCTCTCAGCGCATGTATTAAATGTACGTATTTATTGTTTCATACCTTCATGACTCTATGAATTTTGTCAATAAAACAGGAGTCCACACTGTCCTTCAATATCACATAGTGTACCTTGTATATACCTGAAACAAAAATACAGAATATGGAAATGAAGATTTACGTCAGACCACGACACATTAAATTGCAAGCTTAAAGTTCACGTGTTGTAAGATAACAGCTGCCAAATACTTTTGCGACTCGACAAACCACCTTATTAAATGTCATTCTCCGACTTCAATGTAACTTAAAAAAACATTTAAAACACGACAGTGAATATCAAAAACAAAAAAAATAGTAAATAAGTCGATATCTGTAGCTAGGCATGGATTGTATTCTCAGAGTTTAAAAAGTACTGAGTCGTTTTTCATTCCATTGGTCTGATCTTTACAAAGCAATGCGAAACAAGGTCACATAATATTCTGCATAATTTTACCTTCAATTGTAAACTCGGTGGTCGTGGCGCTTACCGACAATGAAATATTGCTGGTTATATAAATAAGGACTTTACTTGGTATTTCCATTTTATATTTGTGAATGACATACGTGGTAGAAAACACAAGAAAAGGGATGTGAGTCACTTTGTCTCCATGACACTAAAATTCCTAGTACATGTTTTACTGAAATCGAAAATGAAATAAATTGCCCACGCAGAAAGAAACAAAGAATAACGCTGGGACTGAGAGAACGTTGTTTTTTTTACAAACAGTTGTGTTTACTTATGCAACACATAGTGCTAATCTACGTGACATTAAACTTGGACGATGATACGATAGTTCTAATTGGAATTAAGTACCATAAATCTACGGGGTGTACACAAACACAGAAGAATCACAAAAGAAAACCTAAATGCACTCTGTCGTATTAGCGTATTTCAAGATGGTTACATTGCGCTGTTATTATGGTTAAAGTCTAGAAAAAATCGATTTAAAAAGTGCTTCTTATTAGTTTAATTCAAAGTACAAATAACATTAAAAAAGCTTAAATACTGCGACCTCCTAATTCCTCTATTCCTTGCGAAACTGGAGGAGTAACGAAGAACCCCGCCCAGCAAACAGGATTTCCACTTCGGATTACCTTAAAAGTAATTACATGTTGTCTCTTGACCAGAATGCGTGAATCGTAGAATGCAAATCGATGACTACACACTATGTAAATCACAATGAACATACCACATTGTTCGATGGTAACCATTTAGATGTGAACAAAATAGAAAAGAAAGCGAAATACTATTTTTATTAAGGTGGAATTCCGCTGATAACGGCCTTTCAATGGAAATTCCAGAAAAGGTTCCCCAAGCGTTATGGTAATATCTGGGGACCCAAGAAAAATCACATCCTCAGTTTCGACAGTATACATTTTAATTTATGCGTAAAATTAAATGTCTAACAACCACATCCAGTATACCACTAGCTTAAATCTAGTAGTCTAGTAATGTATATTGTAACTTAGATATGAGGAAATGTTCTCTTGACTAACACTGACGTGTATCGGAGACATTTTTTGTATTTACCACGTTTTAGAAATATTAAGAATAGATACATATAATCTGTACAGCCATTTCGAGTAAATACTTTATCTTAGGGGCACACATAGGAATATTTTAATAGGCGTGTTACCCTAAAACTATTGTATTTAGGGGGAACGTCTTAATTGGGTTATGTGCGATATTACGATCATCGTGACATTAAGCACCACACAATGGGATTTTTAGATTTTATTTTTCTACATTCACAACATAGATTATTAGCAATGAATAGTGTTCTGGTATAATTTTTTTCACGAAGCCGAACTGGACCACACCTTGTATTTATACTTCCTACCCAGGGAAAGGACCACCTTAAACTCAAAACGAAAGTTAACACACACAACTAAGCCACACCTATTACTAGTGTTTCAAAGTAAACTTCTATTTGGAACAGGTGACATTCTTGATATTTTGGGTGAGTTAATGGACCCCTAAAATAAAATTACGAAAGTTAGGTTAAAGCAAACTCAAAATTACCGGTAATATGATGGTATTTTAGCGTCCCTCAAATCATCCCAAACATAAAACCTCCCATGCTTGACAATGAGGGCTTCAATTCTGAAGATGTTGTGTGGAATACCTTTTGCAGGGTAGTGCTCCTGAGATAATAAATAAAACACTACAGTATAGCATTTGAAAGCAGCAAAAGGGTACCGGGTAATGGGTCAAATTCATTTCTGAACTCTTAAAATAATAGTTTTCACTTCAGCAGATGAATTGTTTAGTTAGTGTGGAGAGCACTTGAAATTAATACAGCAACACGCTCCATGACTGTTGATGGACGATCCTTGCTTAAATTCTTGAAATGTGCACATAAGAGTTAACCAACCGATATAAATGGAATCGATAAACATGTTGAATTAATCAATATTAAAATCTTCTGAGTCTTTAGAAAATGATGGAAAGATGATGTATAATAATTGCTGGACTGTGGCTCTCCAGGACCAGGGTTTGCCACACTTGAACAATGTCCAGGAAAATGCTTCTACATTTTCATTGAAGCCTTAGAGATTCTACAATGACAACACACATAATGCATTTTTGAGTGCATATCTGAAATTAATTATTTTTGGATTCTAACCACTTAACTATTCTTTTTGATTTAGAATTTTCTATTTCACATTTTTCACTCTCGTGCTCTGTGTATTTTCGCAGCTGGTGATCAGTTGACCAATGAATGTTTGCAAATTCTGCTCTGTCCTCATTTTCCTGCTTTTTGAATTCCGATTCTGTAAAGGACAAAGTAATAATAATAATAATAATAATAATAATAATAATAATAATAAACTTTATTTTATATAGCGCCTTTAAAGGTGGCTTCTCAAAGCGCTTTACAGGATGACAATAACAATAAATAAGAAGACTACAACAATAAATAAGAAAATTTCACAAGACAGGACACAATTATAATTACAACAATACACCAATAACAATAGAGGAGACCGTGGAAGATGGTATTAAGAAGAGCAGAGGGGTGAAGAATGGAAGCAGTTAAGTAAAGGCTTTTCTGAAAAGGAGGGTTTTGAGTCTGGATTTGAAGGAGTTTAGAGAAGGTGACTCTCTAATATCCTTGGGCAAGGAGTTCCAGAGCTTGGGGGCATAGCAGGAGAAGGCCCTGTCGCCCATACAATGTAGACGGGCTTGGGGGACAGTAAGGAGGGCAGAATTTGAAGAGCGGAGGTTGCGAGGTGGGGAGTAGGGCGATAAAAGTTCAGACAGGTATTGAGGTGCCAAGCCATGTAAAGCCTTGTAGGTGAGCATGAGGATTTTAAAGTCTACGCGGAATTTGACCGGAAGCCAGTGCAAGGACTCCAGGATAGGAGTAATGTGAACACTTGCACTAGATCTGGTCAGGATTCTGGCTGCTGAATTTTGGACATACTGCAGCTTGTTCAGAGTAGATTTAGATACCCCAGGGAGCAGAGCATTGCAGTAGTCAATTCAAGAGAATACAAATATGTTGATCAGCTTTTCAGCCACAGTTAATGATAGCATAGGGCGTAGTCTTGCGATATTTCTAAGGTGAAAAAAAGTACAAATGTTTAATATTTTTCTTGACTATTCTTGACACCTTAGCTCCTCTTAAAACTCAGAGCATCTCCTTTACTCATTGTGCCCACTGGTATGCTGACCAGCTGCGCTCAATGAAGGCAATTTCCCGCAAACTAGGTCTTTCTGGCCTAAACATACATTCTGTGGCTCTCCAGGACTGGGGATTCCTACGCTTGAACAATGTTCAGGAAAATGCTTACAGTCAGCATGTTTCTAAAGTGTTTTGAGAATGGTGTATTATAGGGCAAGAATGAATTGTTGGCTGAAGTCAGCTGCTTCACCCTGCTACAGAAGAACACTTCTGTCCAGTAAGAGAAACATCTGTCACATCCTGTTTTACAGCTGAGCAGGTAACTATCTGTCCCAAAATGCTTCTCAAGTGTGCTATGTGGATATAATTCTGGGGAACCAATTCTGATCTTGTGGATCCACACACCTGCTAGTTTCTCATTACAGCTTAGCTCTTTACTTAAATGAATCTTTATACCAACAAATTGCTTGAATGGAGCATTTTAAGTTGTGTAAAATGTATATGCAAAAAAACTGTTAGGGTAAATGTACCTATTAAGCCCATGAACCAATATAATTGGCACATATTTTCAAAAATCTAAAAGAAAAAACAAACATACCATATTTAGTTTTGCTAGTCTTAATAAATCTAGTGGTTTGTTGTATCCAAGTAAAAATTAAATTTTGAATTAAAAGCTGTCAGTTATATAAACGTTAATTATAAATAAATGTTTATGATTATGACAAAACCAAAGATGTCAGGAACTAGACTGACTTTAGGTGGCATACAGTGGCCAGTGTATCCTCACTCTAATCAAAGTGTTCAAACACAAAAAAATAAGCCAGGTGCTAGTTAGCAAAGATTGAAGGACAGTTTTCTCAGATGCCACTCAATCACCGCACAATAGGGGTTAGCATGTTGAAGTATGTTGTGGTACTGAGCCACTGCAGACTGGACCAGGGGCTGATGTCAAGGACCAGTAGGTGGAAAATTAGGACCCTGTGCGGGGTTGGTGTAAGGGGTCAAGAGAGAGAAAGTGTTCTTTAACTGAAGTCCAAATCATTAGGCAGGTCCGTGGTCAGTAGGAGGGCCAAGATCCATAATGCAAAGAGTAGTATCAAGTAACCAAGATTGGATCCGTAAGGCAGGTCCATAGTCGTTAGGAAGGCAAAATCCGTAATCTGAAGAGGTGAGATAAACAAGCGGCAAGGAAGATTTAGCTCAAGCGAGTAGAACTCAATAGTGAGCATGGAAAGGTGCAGTAGAAAGGTTTAAGTCCAGTGAAAAGGGGAAAAGTGATTGGATAATAGATTAATTGCAGTGAACAGTGCGTGTTGTAATGTGTAGGCGAGTGCATGGTTACATGGAGACTCTGACAGCCAAGGGGGCAGGAAAAAAACAAAAGACAGAGCTCCATGACATTTGGCTATCTGCATACAGTCAGTTTGTTAATTAGCCCCAAGCTGTTGGCTCTGCCTTGACCCTAGATATCACAAGAACCCCACCCATACCTCACAGTAAGCCCTGAGCGATGTCCAGGAAGGGAGTTTTATAACCCCTTGTCAGAAAGACTCAAGCAGAGAACTGACAGAGAAGAACTACAGATAGCAGAAGAGGACGCCTCAGGCATCACTATCATTCTCCCTACTCGATAATGGACTTAGAGAAATTAGGGTGGGGGTGGCATAAGGACCACTTTGTTCATGACACCCTGGATTAAAGAGGTTCAGGTGGGCATCTGCGTCAGCATGCGTAGGCTGCAAAGGAACAATAGGTTTATTCCACGCTGAAAAGAGAAGAAAGGAAACACAACATTTTGGCTCACACGCGAGGAAGGCTCCACAGCCGAAATGTTGTGTTTTTGTTCTTCTCTCTTCAGCATGGAATAAACCTATTACTTGTTCCTGGACTAAAGAGGATTCCCAATACCATTGAAAGACTGCACAAAGTTTCCTCTCCGCAACAAAATGGAGGAGGTCACTGGGGCTGTTTCGGAGAACAGTGATGCTGGACTTCTCATTTGGGACATTTGGCTTTGGGTAACTGTGGTTCACAAGGGTTTGTGTGTTATGGTGTGTTCCCCTTGTGCATTCTTATGACGTAAGAATAAAAATTGTCATGTCAGCAGTGATGCTCAATACTATAACTGCTAGTTTAATAGAATATAATAAAGGGACATTAGATAGGGTAACTGTCTTGTCAGGTCTGTGGGTGCACTGTTGGTTCTGGGAGTCAAGAACCTGTTGTGGTTCCCCTTAAGCTAATAGGTGGCCAGATAGTCTGCAAGTATCCTGCTGTTTGGGTCACTATACTATCTTTACCCATGGCAATTATTTTCCAACTGCCAACCTGAAAGCTACTTTGGATCTTTAGCCTTTGGACCACCCATAAAATTACAGATTCATTTCTCACATGTACTTTATGTATATTCATGTGTATACTAATGATTGTTTTTAAATCAGGAGATGTGATTTACCTAGGACAATGAAAAAACTGTAGGGAAAACAAACAAACATAAAAATATGGATTTCTTACCTTTCAGTAATGTAAAGAAACCTTTAAGAAGTGGTTGTGAATGTAATCGACAAGTGTGTATATGATCATAAGAGATAGACACACAATATAAGCCTTTAATTAAACAGCAGAAAAGGCATGTCTTGGGAAATATGGTGGTGAGTAGCACCACCTAATGGAAAGAAAAGGATCCCAGTACAAGTATTTCATTTACAACTTTCAAGTTAGATGTAGCTGCATGAAGAGCATATAAGTTATGCTTAAGAAAGGTACACTCACAAGAATCAAGTAGCAGAATCCACGCTGTACCAGTCCAAACTACTTCAGTTCCCACTTGCCATCACTTGTGATCAAATTGGAATATTGTACTTGTTCACTATGGACAGTTAATTCCCTATTTCTAGAGAGACAGCACTATTTTGTATGAGAGAAGCAGACCAGAGATTTGAAGGTGGAGACCTAACCCAGCCTCTCGTGTCCAAAATTGAAATGTTTGAGAGCAGACATTGATGATGCTAAATTATAAAAGGAGGAAGGAGGGGTCTTTGTAACTTCAAAAAGTCACTCGTTGTAGTCAAAGGTGGAGATTAGAATCAGTGATGGTGTTGCAAAGTAGTACATTTTGCTCATATATTTGCTTAAATAATAATCTGATAAATTGCAGCATCAATCTTTTGTTCAATTGTTATATGAAATCTATAACTGTTGTTACATAACCATTCACGATAAAAGACCAATTTGTATATGAGAGGAAGCCATTCAGCACATCTACATAATTTGTTTCAAGATAATTCAGATGTATATCTTACCAAAAAATGTTTTCAGTTTTGAACTGATAATACTAAGAGGGAACACAAAGTATTTTTTAAGGTTTTATAATCAACAGTGAAGCAAGAATAGGAGTACACAGATGGAATCTACAAGGATGTGCACATACAAGGGAAACTTTAAATTGAAAACAGTATGTACTTTCTGACACAAAGGGTTGCATCTAGAATAAGCTATCCAGCCATGTTGTTGAAGTCAAAACCCTTTACAGTGGGATGAGATCCTTGATCAATTAGCCTCTAGAATCCAAATGAGTTAGGTGGATTGAATTGCCTCTTCTCACAAACACGATGTTCTTACATTCACAACCATCTGTTTCTGGAAAGAAAGCCTGTCTACTTTTATATTACTGTCTCAACATTTGTGTAGAACAGTATTTCCTTGTTCTGGTAATGGCAGAGCCCTGTAACAGCCTGTACTTATCTATATTAAATATTGGGTGTTTTCCTAGACTTCTTTCTATTTTTTTTAGCTTCCTGTGCAGCCTTTCAAATGTTTGCTACTCCTCTTTTTATATAATAATTTATTTGAGAAAATAATAACTTGACCAGCTGGCTAACTATACCAGAATCCAGATCATTGGCAACAGATCTTCCCTTAACAACACTTACAAATAATCGAGCACCTGTCTTACACCATATTCAACATGAAATCTCAAAGGTTGTTTAAGAATTCACTTACCATGTAAATCATAAAATTAGATGTGGTATGTTTAAATTTGTAGAATTTATTACTTTAGTAAATAGCATTCATCATTTACACAGGTCTACTCAGCTTGTCTTCCACAATCTCTGTATCGTTTAACACAAAAAGAAGAAGGAAGAGTGCAAATTAAATATCATCAGAAGGTGATACCAGACGGTGAAAATGATGGCTGTAGGTTCAGTGGAAATTATTATTTCTTATGATCAAATAACTGCCACGCTGCCAAGTACTGTCCAGGGTAGTCATGAAGCTCATTAATGATGTCCTTTCTTGGGTGGGAACAAGGCGTACTCCACTCCGAGCGCAACCACAAATGCTGCAAAGCCCCACTTGAAGCCTCTGAAGAGGACATTTCTGAAGGTAACTGGTTTAGCAAAGCCACCCATGAATCTCCAAGCTTCGTTTCTACAGAAAAATTGAAATATATTAGTATACTTCTCCACATCCTAATGTTATTTACATATAATGACCGAAGGCACATGGTGGGTAAAAATCCCAGGATACTGTGCTTGTATCAAAGTACATTGGTCAAATTGTGTCAGTAAGTCCTCTGGTGTGTATGTAAGTAATCTCTAGGTTGTCATTGTAATTGAGGATTTGTTGTCCATGGACTTACCTGTATCTGCTTAAATAAAAGACTTAAAAGTATCAATATTAACAGGTCATTTTGCTAAAAAGCAGCTAACCTAGTTTCGATCCAGAAATGCATCAATATTAAACAAGCTTTCTGTATCCAATTTCCAAAATGATTACAAAAATATTCGAAAGTCTGCCTTTGTATCTGGTTTGGAGCTTATCCTCAGCTATTTTGCTGTGGATGTGGATCACAAAATTTTGTTAAAAAATGTATTCACACCAGAAAAGAAGTAAATATTCCATACCGAGCCCAAGGATCTTTCAGCCCCAGCTGAGCAAGCCTCTTCTGTGTCTCTTCCAGGGGGGTGCCGTCAACTTTCCACTGTCTGTAGTCTGGCATTTCCAGTTTGCCGTGTCCATGATCGTGACCCATGCCTGAAAAAATATTGAGTGTTATTTACACTCCACCGTCCGCTTAAAAGTAAAATATTTCATCTAAGTATTCCAAATTAACATACACTATTGATATCCTACCATGGTGTTTTTTTTATAAGAGGACTTCGATGACTAAAATCTACAGGCAATTTACATTAAAAACATTGTGACAAAAGACCGCAAATCCATACAAAATACCGGCAACACAATAGTTTAAAAGTTGATCATTTTAAAAACATTATTCTTAATTATTATTCATAGCAGAACAGATGATTGTTTTGTAATATCAGTGTTCTAAAGTTATATTGGCGGATATTATTTTAAAACTCCGTTAAGACATTTTCAAACAAAGCATCGATTCCTTCATATGTTTTTGTAACAAAGAAACTATTCTTATGCAAGCTGATCTGTAGCAATAAAGCAGGACCTAGGTGTAATTGCAAACTAAAACATTCTCCTATGTATCGCTGTTTCAGCACCTCTGCACAGTTCATGCCCGTACGGACTGTTTGCAGAGAAATATTAAAATTATATTTTGCAAAAAACGATTTACACATTAACATACTATTAGAAATGATGAGAATATGATAAGATTATAAATTATTTTACACTAAATAAGAAATACCATTCCTTTTACAATAGCCGCTTTATTAAACCAAAATGTACTTAATGTACATTTTTAGTTCACTCAGATTTTAAATATAAACTGTTTTGTTCTTTGTTTTATACCGTGTTAAATAGTGACCACGACTGTTTTTTAAATACACTTTGGAAAAACAAACCTTGAATATGCTGTTTCTCGACGACCTTTACTAAGAAACAATGTCCTCACCCCTACGACAGTACGATTCCTTTAAAACTATGGCAAGCACGAAAGCTCATACTGTGAAGAAACATAAAATGCGTTTATAATCTCAGCATTTGAAACAACCGATTCGTTATTTTTAGATTATTATTTCTGGTTACGTATTATGTCTAACAAAAAGCATAAGCTTCTACGCTTTCTCCCCTCCCCATTTTTAAATCATAAAGCAACAAAGCATAATGACAAACTTGTTAATTTTTCGAGAATTTGTCTGTCACGTAGTGTTCACAAGTAGAGATGCTGCTTTCATAAATATACACGTAGATTATACTAGGTTTTAAAGGAACAAGTCAAGGTTAATTCCATGTTGAAAAGAGAAGAAAGGAAACACCACGTTTCGGCTGTGGAGCCTTCTTCGTGTGTGAGTCGAAACGTGGTGCTTCCTTTCTTCTCTTTTAAGCATGGAATAAACCTTGACTTGTTCCTTTAAAACCTAGTATAATCTACGTGTATATTTATGAATGCAGCATCTCTACTATCTCTACATTAAATACACCAGCAATTTGAGATTTTGTTAAATTTTTATTGTGTTATGAGGTTCTTTATCAAAAAACAGTTTTATTTTGAGAAACCTTTGCACAACTCTGCATATAACAGAGGTGTATAGTGTCTCAAAGCTATACTTTGACCACTCCCTTCCAAACCCCCTAATTTCATCCTTTTATTGAAGAACACAATATTAGTAATAGTTTATAAATAACATTCCTCATTTTTTTAGAACAATTGTGAAAATGTCTCTGGTCCTGGAGATTTAATTCTGCTATGTGTACTTAGACCCTGTAACACTTCAGCCTTTAAACACGGAGAGATAGCTTAAAGCACACAGTTGTAGATTCGGGAAAACTTCCACACACCCAATCATTGTACCGTATTTCTCTGAATAGAGAGATGCCTGATGACCATCACTTCTATTTTGCTGGGATGCTGGTATTTGAATCCTAAATTTTAACTGCTATTTTATGTTGTGGATTTTCTTCTTAATTGTCTTGGAGATGGACAAATCACACTGGTTTTGCTGTTTTGGGTTTTATTTACTACTACTTTACTGATGAATGAGACATACAGTAGATTCTGTTGCTAACAAAATGCTATTAATCATATTGTATTATTTTAATGATTACCAGGCAAGTAAAATAAAAACAAATTCTTAATTACAATGAAAACCTGAAGACCCTTTTATACAGCAGACCTTTTATACTGGAGCAATTCATTGAAAGTCTTTGCACAAGGGTACAACGACAACATCCCACGTGGAATTTAAAACCTCTAGGCTCTGGGCAATTTACATAGTCTTCAACACTCCTGTAGTTCAGGTGCGTAGCTGCATCAGCATGCGTAGGCTGCAAAGGAACAAGTAATAGGTTTATTCCATGCTGAAAAGAGAAGAAAGAAAACACAACGTTTCGGCCATGGAGCCTTCTTCAGGTGGGAGAAAAAGAGGGCAGTAAGCAAAGGTAACGTAGCAGGAGAACAAAAGCTGGGATAGAGGAGGAGCGAGGGGCAGGAGCAAGGGAACAGAAAGAGAGGCCAATCAGGAGGTGTGAAGTCAGAATAGGTGTAGAGAAGTGTGAAATTAAACCTACAATGAATAGAGAGAATTTATAAGAAATGTAGTCTGTCATTAAGAGAAGGGGGAAGGTGTGATCCTAGCTGCAGGATAATTTTGGTTTCTGTAGTCTTTTTGATGTATGACTTTGGAAAACCATCTTTGAGAACACAGACGGAGAGATTAGAGTGGTCATGGCCATCAGTGGTGAAATGAGAAACAATGGGCTTGGAGAGATCTTTAATCTTCACAGCCCTGACATGTTTTCTGAAGGGGTCTCCGAGTCTCCTTCCTGTTTCTCCAATGAAGATGGCTGGGCATTTACTGCAAGAGATACAGTAAATAAGGTTGCTGGATGTACAAGATGCCATCTGGGTAATCCAGAATTGTCCTGAGGGGCCTTGAATGAGTGTGGTGGTAAATGTGTACTTGCAGGTGATACAGCGAGCTCTGTTGCAAGGGAAAGTGCCTGGTGTGGATGGTTGCTGAGGGCGGTCAAGGGAGCTGTGAACAAGAAGGTTACACAGATTAGGTGGTCGGCAATATGAGATGATGGGGTGGTTAGAAAAGAGGGCCCCAATGGAGGGATCATCCTGAAGGATGGAAAAGTTGTCGTTAATAGTCCTGGGGATTGGAAGTGTGTTGTGGTGGTAGGGAAGCACCAAAGGAATGCGGTTGTTACGGTGGGAGTTCCTTATTGTGTTGAGGGTCCGAGGGGTGTTTTTGGCTCAGGCAAGGGCCCTGTCAATAACACTGCTAGGGGATCCTCTGTTGGTGAAAAAGGAGTACATTTTGAGGGCTTGGTTCTGGAAATCTGTGTCATCGCTGCATAATTGTTGTAGCCTAAGGAGCTGTGAAAAAGGGAGAGAGTTTTTAGTGTGTTTGGGGTGAAATGAGCTATACAGGAGATAGCTGTGTGAATCCGTGGGTTTGTAATAGACCGAAGTAAAAAGTCGGAGATAGTTAATGGAGAAGTTGATGTCTAGAAACGGAAGAGTAGTGGAAGATATGTTAACTGTATATTTGAGGGATGCGTGGAAGTTGGTGAAATGATGCAGAAAGCACTCAAGCTGGTTGTTAGAGCATGTGGCGGCACCGAAGCAGTCATCAATGTATCACTTGTAGAGGTCAGGGACATAGCCAGTGTAGGAAGCGAAGAAGCGTTCTTCTACCCAGCCGACAAAAATATTGGCATAGCTGGGTCCCATTCTGGTGCTCATGGCAACTCCACTTACCTCTTGGTAAAAAGGGTTATTGAATGAGAATGCTTTCAGTTCCTTCACCACTCCTGGTCAAGGTTGTTATAAGCAACAGAGAATGTGCTAAAGCAAATTGACTAGCCCCTCTGTTGTTGTACATTGTCATGTTTTGTCATTTACCATACAGTCTCGCGGGAGCCTACCCAGCAAGCAACGAGCACAAGTCAGGGTACACCCTGGACAGGGCGCCAGTCCATCGCAGGGCAAGTGCAAGCCAATCATACATGGGAACTCTAGTTATGTAAAGGCCAAGGGGGGGAACACAGTAAAGGCCAAGGGGGGGAAATTTGGCCTGGACACCAGGATAATTTCCAACTCTTATCGAGGAATGGCCGGGGGATCTTTAATGACCACTGAGAGTCAGGACCTCGGTTTAACGTCTCATCCGAAAGACAACACTCACTACAGTATAGTGTCCCTGCCACTATACTGGGGCATTAGGACCCACACAGACCGCAGGGTGGGCGCCCCCCGCTGGTCCCACTAACACCACTTCCAGTCGCAACCATAGCTTCCCAGGAGGTCTCTGATCCAGGTAATGACCAGGTTCAACCCTGCTTAGCTTCAGTGGGTAGCCAGTTGAGAGCTGCAGGGTGATATGGCTGTTGGCTGTTGTGCATTGTTTTACTCTGAAATTATCCATCTGACCATGTTTGTGACTTTTCTGATTCCCAACATAATCTTTGTATCCTTGTAGTGCTGTATTCTAAGGGAGTGGGGTACCCCCATACTGTATATTCAGCGGTAGATAAGATTAAGCCTGAAATATTGGGGATACACTCCTGACCAATCATTCTAAGAATAACAAGGTTCTTCTAGTAACTAAATACAACAGCACTAACCTTAAAATGTACTACACTGGATTGTACAAGAAAATAGATATTGAAGTAACTGAACTCAGTTCTAAAGAAAATGCATATATTACAATAAATACTCACTGTTCAGATTTACAAATCCTAAAAACTTTTCTTATATTTTTATGTTTTCTTTGAACCCTGAGAGATACTGATATACTTAATATTAACATCTTCTGAGTCTTTAGAAAATGATGGAAAGATGATGTATAATATTTGCTGGACTGTGGCTCTCCAGGACCAGGGTTTGCCACACTTGAACAATGTCCAGAAAAATGGTTCTACGTTTTTGTTGAAGCCTTAGAGATTCTACAACGACAACACACATAATGCATTTTGAGTGCATATCTGAAATTAATTATTTTTGGATTCTGACCACTTAACTATTCTTTTTGATTTAGAATTTTCTATTTCACACTTTTCACTCTCGTGCTCTGTGTATTTTCGCAGCTGGTGATCAGTTGACCAATGAATGTTTGCAAATTCTGCTCTGTCCTCATTTTCCTGCTTTTTGAATTCCGATTCTGTAAAGGACAAAGTACAAATGTTTAATATTTTTCTTGACTATTCTTGACACCTTAGCTCCTCTTAAAACTCAGAGCATCTCCTTTACTCATTGTGCCCACTGGTATGCTGACCAGCTGCGCTCAATGAAGGCAGTTTTCCGCAAACTAGGTCTTTCTGGCACTCGACTGAATAAAAGGATGCACTAGAGTCTGCTAGATCAAGCTATTTCTCCCATGTCATTGAGAACAACCATAACAATTCTAGACACCTGTTTTCCACCATGAATAAACTGCTAAAGCCAAACTGGCCCACCACATTACCCTTCCAACCCCAACTTGGCAATACATTCTTAGAGCTCTTTAGCCTCAACATTGACAACATCCGGCATCAGATTCTCTCCACAATGCTTGCTTCCACTACGTGAAGCCCTCACAGCCAAAACATTGTGTTTCTTTTCTTTTCAGCATGGAATAAACCTTTAATACTATAGCACTTTTCGGGTTCTTGTGGGTTTGCACCCTCGCGGCTCCCGCCTAAGGTCTGCCCTCGAACCCGAGTCTCCGGCGACACTCCACAGGGAACCAGCCGGCTGAGTTTAAGGGAGATCTCCCCTCAGCCTGGTTGCTGAGGTCCCTGCCCTTCACAGGAAAGGGCGGTGACGTCACCGCGCTGGCAACCGGCTCGCACAACCTGTAATGTCGGCCGTGTCCGTTATAATACCTATATCGCTATGTGCGGACTTACCTTTTTAAGCAGTGAAAGTGATTGCAAGTGTAACTGTTCATAATGGAACCATCATTGCTTTGATCTCTAACTCCCACAAAACTTGTCCTCTTGCTTGTAATGATTCTGTTCATATTTACAAAAAAAATTGCAAGATTTCATTATGACTAAATCGCAGTTGAAATCTGTACAAATTCTGCAGCACTGGACACAATCATTAAACTGAAAGTGCCAGCCAAGTTCACCAGAGCTTCTACATGCGTTCAGTCCACAACGTAACAGGTTGTACATACACTGACACAAGCATTGCTATGTTGTAATTACGAGATAAGGGGGCAATTTTTTTTCCCCTTAGTGGCAGCAATGCGCTTCCGTAACTTTAAAGCCACTATATAAAATGTTTTTTTATTCTAAAAATCTGATTCATACAAGAAAAGTATCTCCACATCCACACTAGCATTATTATTGATCTAAAATGTTTTTTTTTTGCAGTATTTTTAATAAATACATATGTAAAGTGCTAGAGTGTGTTTGTGGCCTTTTTAGTCACATTTTCTGAACAAAGTGTTTTTAAAAATATTACTGAAGGCTGAAAGAGTAATGGAGGTGTTCAGGTAATGGAAGAGTTGCACAGGCTTCAGTGCTTCACTGAAATGTACAGTATGACACCATTTTTACTTAATTTAGGATACTTTATCACATATGTTAATTTGTTAAAATTAGTTCAGTTCATAATCATGAAAAATATATTTTGGGAATAGCAACACAAGCATGCAGATCTCCCTTTAGCTCAGCTGCTTGGGTCACTGTTGAATGATGCTGGAGGCCCGGGTTTGAGTCCCCAGCGGTGGAGGGGGCTGACCTGAGGTGGCAGCGGCGAGGGTGCATACCCACGTGAACCCGAGAGCGCTACAATACACCAGATAGATCACTGTACATCGTGAGTTTTAAAAATTATTCTCCCTCACTGCATTATGACGTGCATCTAAAAACAAGCAGGCAATCCAACTGCAGATTGGGGATTTCCGGATTTCGGTTGCCGAGAGAAGGGAAATAAAAAGGCAGAGTGAAGTTCTGAATAAGCAGGCAGAGAAAAGGCTAGTTACACCGGCAGGAAAATGAGCCACGGGTACATTTCAGGCAGAACAGGGTCAGGGCTAATTCAGGAATCGGGCGTTCGGGCTTAGAAGTCAGGAACATTTTTTTTTCTAAGCTTCGTTCGAAAGTACCGAGAGATACGATGAAAGGACAGAGCGTAACACTCTGAGAGCTCAAATGACAGAGCGTTTTCTCCATGGCAGTTCAGGTCTTTCATAGACGATCGGGTTGATTAGATGAGGACCCGGCTTGATGGAAGAAGGGGCGAATCTGTACACGACCCGAGCGTGTAATTGGATTCCCGTGAGAAATGCGTTCATTCGGGGAAGAACTGCGTTCCTACCTGATTACCGTGGGATGTGAGCCTCTTTCTTTCTGGGCGTGATACAATGTCTTGCTAATATTACAAAGTAATCCCTTACATAAAAATTCTAACTGTAATGTACTCATTAATTAAATTAACTTTCCCCAGCTGATACTGACCAACTTTAGCAAGGAACTCCCAGGATTCTCGACTGACCTAGTACCAGGAGCTGTTGAGTCAGAACCAATAATACTTTCATGGTGGTGATTTATATCATCATTTGCAAAGTAAAAATAAACTGGGTTCATTAAGCATGGATAGTACAACACATTCAAATGACATATTCATATTATGGTATATGCAAGTCAGTGACAATACTAATGTTACAAAATAATAAACTTTATTTTTTATATTGCCTTTAAAAGTGGCTTCTCAAAAAATACCAACTGAGAGGAGACAGTAGATGGGGATATTGAAAAGTAACAGTAGGAAAGCCAGGGGGTACACTGAACCAGTTAAACAAAAGCTCTTCTAAAGAAGGTTTTGAATCTTGATTTGAAAGATCTTAGGAAATGTGACTCTCTGATATACTTAGGTATAGAATTCCAAAGCTTTGGGGTGTAGTAGGAGAAGGTCCTCTCATTTATGGAGTGTAGAAGGGCTTGGGGGACAGAAGGAGACCAGAATTAGAGGAACAAAGGTTGTGAGGTGGGTGACAGTAACTCAGTTGAGTACCAAGGTGCCAAGCTATGCAGAGCCTTATAGGTGAGCATGAGGATTTTGAAGCTGACACTAAACTAAAACACGAGTAGAGATTAGGAACAAATGCTTTTTACGTTTGGCTGCATAAAAGGGGAAGATAAAGAGTACACAGAAGTGACTTCTATAATGATTATGGCAAATTGTGACTAAAAAAGAAACTACAATGAGAATTTATCTAGATTTCTCATCTTTGCATTGTGTAACTGACTAAACTAGACTTAAATGGGAAAACTAAAAGATAGCTGAAGTCATTGATACCAGTAAAATGTGGAAAAAAACCCTGAATGCAAAGATTCACAAGTTTGATGAACAGTTAAGTCACAATGTCCTGAAAATGTCCTTTTTGTGCAAATAATTTGTTGTATCAGCTGAAAATTAATACTGCGACCCTTAAATCCTTATTTTAGAAATTCCCATGAACTCTTAGTCCTTTTAAAATCAGAAAATCCTTATTTTGAAAATCAGAGAAGTGTCTATACATAACTAATGCTACTGTGCATGAGGCTATGTAAACTCCAATAGAAGTCCCTTGTGTATAGTGGAGCTTTTAATTGATTAGCAAAACATAAAAAAATACTAAAACGTTTACTGAGTGGAGTTGTTGTCATATGAAGTGCACAACACTGTGAGAAAAGACATCGAGTTAAGCACGAAGAAATCCTGGAATGCCCAAAAGCCGTGTTCATCAGTCTATTACACGTGTCTTCCTTACTGTGAAAACAAATGTACAGTGTGAAGAGAATGCTTTGAAGCCTACAGGTGAACTGATACCAGGGTAACTGGATTATTAAAACTATACACATCAATCCACTTTAACTGATTAACATAAATTGTATTAAACAGAGCCTCAGTATAGATAAAATGTAAGAATGCAAAATAATGACTAAAACTCTTTATTATCTCGTCTGTCATCCATCCCATTTCTCACTGAAAATAAATCAGCAATGTAGGGAATTCCAAATAGCATTTCGGCTAAATAAAGTACACGTAACAGATTACTTTACAGCAATTGCGTTATGCCCCTAGACAAACTGCAATACTTTTAGTCACGCTAAAATACTGTCCAATTGAGTAGCTTGTTAAAGCTCTAGTAGTGGTTGTCCAATGGCTGGACACGTTAGTGAGAAGCCGCAAGCTGGCAGGAAGGAGAAGATGTTATTGTAGAGTCAATGAGACAGAAAGCGCAGACTGAAGGGGGAGCAGATGTTACAGAGCTATCATGAAATAGTAACACATGCACAGGATTGTACTTTGGGGGGTTTGTTGATGTTTTTCTGTGGCATTTTATTTTTACGCACAGTTGGCATTTGTTTTGCTGTGATCACGTAGCACTGATTGCTCAAGGACTTGTTTCCCATTACCAGGACAAACAGCACAGGCTGGACCGTGTTAAGACCAGTAATTCTGATACAGGTAGGTTTACCTTCATTACATATCACACCGGCTGCTGAAGAAATCCATCGTAGGTTCGTGATCTTTATTTACTGTAATGCCACCAATGCATATATTACGTTATGTTATACATGGGCTGCTTTGCTGTTGTGAGCAATTGCCTGATACGTGTAAGCCTCGTAGTGCATTAATGTATGGGCAGCTACCTTCGCTGCAATGGACAAACAGACCATGATGTGTGTGCTGTTCGTAATGCATTGCAAAGCCATGTATTTTAGTGAATTCTAGGGTGTTTAATTTAATCGCTTGGGTCAGTACAAGGGTTATCGTTTGATTTCAAGACTGGAATTACAATTTTACATATGAAGAAAAACCCAATAATGCTTTCTCAAGTAATTTTTTATTAAGTCGTATTATTTCCCCACAAAAGGTTAAGGAAATAGTTTTTTTTAGAACTCGGGGTTACTATTAACAACAAATGTACCTTAATTCTTTTTGAAGCACGAATATGTATGTACCTTTATATATATATGCGTGTAATTAGGGGGGGGGGGAATCATCCACTTCCTGCCAAGTTATTGGCCGAAGTGTGCAGTATATTACCATTTGACATGTCTGTGATGTGGGAGGGTAAAGGGATGAGTAGTTGCGTTTCCTGGGATACTGCCACATATACAGACAGAGAGATGCAGATCATTAGCTTTAACATGCTTATCATAGCAGCCAGAAAACACGGAAATGCACAAGATGAACTCCGTTGAACTTCCTAGAGATCATAGTTTTTTTTTTAAATGTTGGTTTTTATCTAAGATACTTCTGTTTACCTCCTATGTGTGACTGAAATGCTAAATTCAATAATTCAGCATTCTCAGGATTTGAACTGATTCAGTGCTCGAAAACCGATATCTTGGGAATCTAGAAAATATGAGAATGATTCTTAGCATTTTGCATCTTAATGCAAGTAGTTGAAACTTTATAGTTTACGTTGATTCAGATTGCGGTATCTCTTTTGTTGCATGCTAGATTTTGAAGTTCAATGTCATGTTATCTTTGGATTCCAACTGCGAGAGCTGTTTTACGAGTTAAATATTGGTATTCTAATTATTACATTTGCTCAAGGCATCTTTGGCGAATTTGTAGAATGACTTTTTTTGTAAAAGTAAGCATGACTTATAAATAACACCTGGTAAGTTAGGAGGACCAAGAATTTGCTGAGTGCTATTAATGAAAATAGCAATACGCCTGTAGTCAATAAATACAACATTGATTAATTCTTTTTCATTGTTCTTGGTCCAATAAGCAACATTATTCATGGTTTTGATTTTAAACAGTGTACTTTGTATTTTAGAGAGAGGTGGATTTTATGTATAATTTTTGTTTCAGTTCAAGCCATGAATTCCTCACGTCTTGGCAAACAATGGGTTCTGTCATTTTTTAATATATTTATCTCCTTTTTAATATTTGCTAAAGGTTGTCACATTGAAAAAAATGCACTTAAAGAGTATAAATCAGAAGGGAAAATTCCTGGCCTTGGAGAGCCACAGTCCAGTATGTTTTTATGGGTCACTCTTAAACTGTCAATATTAATTGTCATTTCATCATTTCTTAAACCTGAGTAGGTAATTTGTGCAATTTAGAGACGTTTATTTGTTAAATTGCAATTCTCAATTTTAGAGATTAAACCTGTAGCTTCCTAGTACCAGAGTCACATTCTGTGACTATATTGAATAAATTAATTTGCTGAATTGACCATAGCTTGCATGCGTTTCATGTTTTTGCAAATTGAATGCTTATGGATGACATACAGTATGTAAAAGGCTTTAAAATGAGAACCTTCAGCATATCTAGATTGTTTGGTTCTAGTTTATGTGGTTTCAAGAGCTCATCCAGTGGATGTTAGTTTTGAAAGAAGGCTTTGTATCTGCTTCAAGATTCCCAACACCCTTTATTTAAAATGGTACCTCCTGATCTGAATTCTAAGTACACGTTTCTGAAGTATCTACTTGTGGTCTCTGACTCGTGGTTCATTGGTGGGTCTGAAGAAGTCCAGTGGTGTTCACGTAAGGCCTGCTGAATTGTGGCTTTCCAAGACCAGGGTCTTACACTTCTGATTTACAGGATTAGACACTTCTAGTGTAGGTATATTTAATATCCATGCAAATCTTTTTTCTTCATTGTTATTCTAGCTGTTTAAGAAGGTTATCAATGAATAGTTACATTGACAAGAACAGCTTTTTGGTAGCTTTTTCTTGCTTGTATTTTATTATTTTTATAAATATAAAGTGATTATCAGAATTAAGTTTCCAGTTGCCAGTAATCCCAAAACATCAAGTATTATAAATATGAATGAGTGTAAAGTCTGCTAATTAACATTTCCAGTTTGACAGGGGGTATAGTGCTAGGGAGAATGGAGGGTGGAAGAAAAAAGAACATACACTTCAAAAAAATAAAATCAATATTATTACTAGGGAAGTAAAAATAATACACCTTTGCCAATATCTCTCAAAGACCCCCTACTGATAGACAGATTTTTCCCATCTCATAAATCTGTGAAACAATAACAATTCAGTTTTCTTTGTTTGAGGTATCACTTTGGAACCATTTACATGATCTAGCTTTTTTGCTTGCTGCAAAACATGCTTTAAGCAGGCATTTATCTATACCTTCAACCTCATCAGGCAGATTACCCAGATACAGAGCTGAACAAAATTTTGGTATTTCTAAACATAATATATCTTGGATCAAAAACTACACTTCTTTGCAGTAGGACTGAATTCTGAGACCCTGTCAATATATATGAGGATGACCTGCTTCCCCTTTACCACAATCTCTCCAACATGGTTGTGGCAAACTATTTTTGAGGTTATAAATAGCCGAATTTGTACTTCATTCTTCTAAGGTCTTATTGCCAGTAGGTTTACAAAAGAAACAAATGTAACACCATTCGTGCCACTGTTCCATATATGGTAATGTTTTTTTGTGCAACTCTGATACAGTAGATAGCAAGCTTTAATAGTGAGATTTCAAAAACAACAACAATTTCATTCATAAAGCACTTTTCATCCAAAGGAGCACATGCACTTTTTTAATTTAATACACTTAATTCATCCACCACTCAAGTGCTGTATTCACCTTGGTGACACGTGGTAGGATTGTGTACGTCCAGAGTGGAATTTACACAGGGCAGTAGGTTTAACACCCATGCTCTTTTATGCTGTGCCATATTATCTTTAATGATGAAGTAGTGACTTTTTCAGATTGAAGTCTCATTTGAAGTCTCATTTGACCTCTTCCATCACACTTTTTCCAGTAATCATTCTGGGAAATTTGTTTGAAAATTCTGGACTACGGGGAATTGTGCCAGTCATTGGTCCACCAACAAAACTTAACAGACTGTTTTTGCTTTGAGAGATATTTTAAGTATATTCAGTTAGTCTTGGGGTTCAAGGTTAATGACATTCCATTTTACTATTAATTGTTTATTACTTTCATATGTTGAATTATAATTCTTGTGGTTGGCCATGGATGAGTATAATACAGACTGTGAGAAATTAACCCCTTGTTTCCCTTATACTTACGTATTTACCAACCATGGTTTTGCTAACCAGTTTTCAGTGGTTAGTGACAGAAACCTGTATTTAATATAAGATATTTCTTATACAGTAATAGTCATGACTGTGAAACATGTATACTGCATCTGTATGTACAATGAAAAACATTTTTAATTAGTGCATATAGAAGGAAGTACTTCCCCACGCTCACCAACCTTGAAAAATATATATTCTCTTGCCGTTAATGGTCCCTGCGTTTTGAGCACTGCTGGTTTACATCCTGGCTCAGCTGTGCAGCATATCTTGGATCTAAAGTAGTGTTTACAGTTGTTGTGGACCATGTTCATATTTTATATGTCTCCATATAATTGTGAACAGTGCTGTACTGGTGTAACAATGGGAAATGAGACATTTATAGTACATGAGGTTTGGGAGAGAAAACTAGATGTGGCCATTTTACCTTTTCCGAGCAAGCAGTAGATACATTCATGTAGAGATTGGTTGGGAAGTGCAGATGTCCTGTCAAAATTTGTTTTTTAGGCCTCAAAAGTGGATTAGCTTTCATAGTGTGATCTCACATTAGAATTGCACTGGCCAGATGAACTTGTTTTGAAATTTACAAATTGAAGTCCAAACCAGAAAACACAATGCATTAGTGATTACCAGATATAAAAATTACCTCTGTACTTGCATTTCAGTTCGTCAGTCCTGGAAAATGAAGAATTCACCCGTTTTATATCAGATTGTGTTGTGATGATTTGGTGGATGTAGCAGATAGCTTAAAGCAATTTTCTCTTTTAAGGTTTTGCTGCACAATAACCAAAAGTAAATTGGAAGGTGAAGCCTTGTTTTGTAATTCCACCATATTTACATAATTGCATTCAGAGCTGAGCAGTCAGCTTTTCCTTGAACAGGCGTCCATTGAATTTGAGTTTTTACTGCTCAGCTGAATAAGGCAAAAATCTGAAACTATATGATGATCAAAGTGTCTTCTAACATTTTTTTCCCTTGTAATGAGATTAAACAGGCAATGGAGTTATGATATAGATTAAAGGGAGTAGTAATTATTAGTTGGAGTTAAGGTACTTTACAGTCAGCCACATATCAGTAGTAGACATGCTTGTGACCTATTTTACCATAACTCAACTATCACTGCAGTGTTTCCTGAGCTCTTCTGTAATGCTACTTGACTTGACTGACAGTATAATTCTGAGACTAGAGGACATACTGTATTTTCTCCTAGTTATCACAAATGCTTAAAAGTGTGTTACATAATATATTGTTTTTACTGTTATATATTATTCACATTAGTTTTTTGTGAAACTGCCATAACTGTCCACTTTTTCAGTTTGAGCTCTGCAGAAATGATGCAACCTTACTAGACAAGTTGTAGGATTCAGTGTGAAGTATTATCTGAAGGATGACCCTATCCATTCTATACTACTGTTCCTTCAGTGGTGGAGCTATGGG